GTTGGCCAGGCTGGTCTTGAACTCCTGACCTCAGGTGATCCACCCACCTCAGCCTCCCAAAGTGCTGGGATTACAGGCGTGAGCCATCACGCCTGGCTGACGAACATACATCTTTTCCTCTGTGCTCCCCACACAAGTGGTTCACACCTGCAAGAGGGTATCGGCTCATTTTGCCTTCTATCCCCTTCTTTGGATGCATATCTCAGGTCACCTGCTAGGCTGCAAGTTCTTGGGGACAGAACTGATGCCTGGCTTACCTGCATATTCTCACAGTCCCAACCCTTGCTAAAAGATACTCAATAGAAGTGTGTTGGACTTAATTTAAAAGAAAATGCAGGCTGGGGGCGGTGACCCATACCTATAGTCCCAGCAGCACTGTGGGAGGCCTAGGCAGGTGGATTGCTTGACACTAGGAGTTTGAGACCAGCCTGGCCAACATGGTAAAACCCTGTCTCTACAAAAAATACAAAAATTAGCCAGGCATAGTGGCATGCACCTGTAGTCTCAGCTACTCGGGAGGCTGAGGTGGGAGGCTAAGGTAGGAGGATGGCTTGAGCCCTGGAAGCAGAGGTTGCAGTGAGCCAAGATTGCACCACTGCACTCCAGCCTAGGTGATAGAGGCAGATCTTGTCTCAAAAAAGAAAAGAAAAGAAAAGAAAATGCCGCAGCCAGGCGCAGTGGCACATGCCTGTAATCCCAGCACTTTGGGAGGCTGAGGTGGGCAGATTGTTTGAGTCCAGGAGTTTGAGACCAGCCTGGGCAACATAGCGAGAGCTTGTCTCTACAAAAAATAAACGAAATTGGCTGGGCCTGGTGGTGTGCGTCTATGGTTCCAGCTACTCAGGAGGCTGAGGTGGGAGGATCACTTGGGCCTGGGAGGTCAAGGCTGCAGTGAGCCAAGACTGCTCCACTGCACTTCAGTCTGGCCAACAGAACGAGACCCTTTATTAAAAAAAAAAAAGAATTGAAAAAGTATGTCTAAACCTGTAGGCTGGGTGTCCTAAATCTTCATTTTTCTTTTTGCTCAGCTTGAGATGGAGAATCAGCATCTGAAAAGCCATAATCAGCACCTGGTGGAGCAGGTGGGAGCCCTTCAAGATGCACTAGAAGGTAGGCAGGCCAGGGTGTGCAGGTGTGCGGTAGGTGTGTGTGGTGGATATGGGGCTGAGCTACGGGAGCTCTCAATGTGACTGTTTTTACCCCAACCACAGCTATTCAGATAGCTCCTTCGCGGAAGCTGCTGGTGCCCTCCCACGGAGCTGCAGAGCAGGATTCGGTCCCTTCAGAGCCGGGAATCCAGCCCACGGGCCAGAACAGTGGCTCCCAGGCCGAGGGTCTGAAGGCAGCTGTGCTTGCACCTTCCCCAGGTGCCCTGCAGAGCAAGGACTCTGTTTCTGAAGCAGCAAGTCCCTTGGAGGATTCTAGTTCCAGCACGGTCCATTCTGGGGAAATGGTAGAGGCCAAGCCCCTTCAACCTCATCTGGGAAGAGAGGGCCCTCCCCACCAGCCATGCATGAAGCTTCGTACCTTCAGATGTGGTTCAGCTTCCTGGGGTGAGGGTCTGGTTACTGCCCAGAGAGGGATGCTCCCTGGGATAAAGACCTCTGCCAGGGAAGGTGGCCCTGGCAGCAGTCTGACCCTACCAAAGGTGCGGACTCCTGGCACCCCACGGGACAGCATCCAGTTGACCAAAAGGCACCACAGCCAGCCCCAGGTGGGCCATGGGCACTTTGACCGTGTGGTGAGCATTGAGATTGGGGCCTTCTCAGCCCTCCACCCCTCTGGCCTTCCTGAGCTGGAGTCCCGAGCTAGGTACCGGGAGGAACCAGAGAAGATGGAGATGGAGGAGCCACCCCCAGCAGGGAAGAATGAGGAAAGAGAGAGCCCGAAGGCCCTTGGAGCTGAGCTGGAGGAAGTGGAGCTGGGTAACAAGCCACCTACACCCCCGCTGCACCAGTTTTCATCCTGGGTAAGAGGCAAGCTCCGGGCTGGGCAGAAGAGCAGAGCTAATGACAAGAACACTGCTGGCTGAGCACAGCCATGCACTGAGCAGGAAAGGAGGCTGCTGGCATCCTCATGGTGGCCGTGGCAGGCAGGTACCATGGAGCCTGTGCAGACCACCCAACCAGTGAGGGTCAGAGCTAGAATTCAGAATGATGTGAATGGCAGTTGACTGTCATTTCCTGAGTGCTCACCGTGCACCATACATCAAGCTGGGTGCCTTGCATACCTTTTCTCATTGAATCTTTGTGAGTCTTTCAGATGGTTTGGTATAATGGTAAAGAGCATAGGCCCCAGAAGCAAACTACTAGGGTTGAACTGTTAACTATGTGACCTTGGGCATGTTACTGAACCTCTGTGCCTCAGCTTCCCTATCTATAAAATGGGGATAATAGTACCTACTTTATAAGGTTGTTATGAAAGTACTTACAGTAGTGGTTCACAGTAGGTGGTAGGTAAATGTTGGCTCCCTTCTCCTTCCCCTTCTCCTTCCCCTTCCCCTTTCCCTTTCCCTTTCCCTTTCCCTTTCCCTTCCCCTTCCCCTTCCCTTCCCTTCCCTTCTTGCCCAGGCTGGAGTGCAATGGCACGATCTTGGCTCACTGCAACCTCTGCCTCCTGGGTTCAGGCAATTCTCCTGCCTCAGCCTCCCAAGTAGCTGGAATTACAGGTGTGTGCCACCATGCCCAGCTAATTTCTTTTCTTTTTTTTTCTTTTTGAGACGGAGTCTTGCTCTGTTGCCCAGGCTGGAGTGCAGTGGCACGATCTTTGCTCACTGCAAGCTCTGCCTCCCTGGTTCTCCTGCCTCAGCCTCCCGAGTAGCTGGGACCACAGGTGCCCGCCACCATGCCCAGCCAATTTTTTGTATTTTTAGTAAAGATAGGGTTTCACCATGTTAGCCAGGATGGTCTTGATCTCCTGACCTCGTGATCTGTCCGCCTCAGCCTCCCAAAGTGTACTTTTTATAATTTTAGTAGAGACAGGGTTTCACCATGTTGACCAGGCTAGTCTCAAACTTCTGACCTCAAGTGATTCACCTGCCTAGGCCTCCCAAAGTACTGAGATTACAGGCAACTGAACCAGGCCAGCTTCCTTACTCGTAACATTGGATAAAATGTCTTGACGTCTGTCTGGTAGAAATACTTCAGAAGCAATGATCTGGTTGGTGGCCAGGAGTGGGGACACAGATGAAGCATAACTGACCACACCTCTTTAATCTTTGCAGAGCTGGGTGATGGGCACATGAGATCATTCTTTTTTTAATTGAGACAGGGTCTTACTCTGTCGCCCAGGCTGGAATGCAGTGGTGGAGTCTTGGCTCACTGCGACCTCTGCCTCCTGGGCTCAAGTAATCCTCCTACTTCAGCCTCCTAAGTAGGTGGGACTACAGGCATGCGGCACCATGTCTGGCTAATTTTTGTATTTTTAGTAGAGACAGGGTTTCACCATGTTGCCCAGGCTGACATTTTTTTTTCTTTTCCTTATTTTTTTTTTGAGACAGAGTCTCACTCTCTTGCCCAGGCTGCAGTGCAATGGTGCAATCACAGCTCACTGCAGCCTCAACTTCCCGGGCTCAAGCAATTCCCCCACCTCAGCCTCCCCAGTAGCTGGGACTACAGGCATGTACCACCATGCCCAGCTATTTTTTAATTTTTTGTGGAGATGGGCTCTCACTGTGTTGCTCTGGCTAGTCTCGAACTCCTAGGCTCAAGTGGTCCTCCCACCTTGACCTCCAAAGTGCTGGGATTACGGGTGTGAGCCACTGGTGTCTGGCTCTGTGTCTGACATTTTCCATGATAAAAAGTTAAAATAAAAATGAGACAGGCTATAAAAATGACATTTCACAGGTCACCAGTGAAAATGGCCTGCGGGTATTAAGGGCTTCACACAGAGCCTGTGGGAAGGCTCCCTTCCTTGCAAGGAGTAAGGTGTGGTTTCTCCCTTTTACAGGTCAGGAAACCACTGTTCCCCACAGACTTAGGTACTTGCCCAAGGTCATGTGATAGTTAGTGAGGGAGCCAGGCTTTATTTATTTATTTACTTGAGAGACAGTGTCTTGCTCTGTCACTCAGGCTGGAGTGCAGTGGCACAATCACAGCCCACTGCAGCCTTGTACTCCTGGACTCAAGGGATCTTTCCACCCCAGCCTCCTGAGTAACCGGGACTACAGATGCACGCCACCACACCTGGCTAATTTTTTAAATTTTTCGTAGGGTTGGAGTATCCCTATGTTGCCCAGGCTGGTCTCAAACTCCTGGCCTCAAGTGATCCTCCTTCGTCAGCTACGAGAGCCACCTCACCTGGTCTGAGAGCCAGGCTTTAAATGTAGTTCCAGCTGCACTGAAGCCCAGCTCTCACACTCCAGCTGTACTTCCTCTTAAGGGACATTGCCAGAGCAAATGTCAGTCTTATTCATGGGCAGACATCCCCTCCACATATGCTTCTGGGGTGTGCAGCAATACCATGGGGGACATCTAAGCATTGGCTCCTGGCAGCAGGAGGAATGAGGTCACTTGGGAGAGGGGGGTAGCATCAGGGTGGACTCACCCCACACCACTGCTCGGGAGACCTGTATTTTCAGCAGTACCTCCCAGGGCCTCCTTTTGAAATGCTGGTTCTAAGCCAGGCACGGTGGCTCATGCCTGTAATCCCAGCACTTTGGGAGGCTGAGGCAGGCAGATCACTTGAGGTTAGGAGTTCGAGACCAGCCTGGCCAACATGGCGAAACCCCATCTCTACTAAAAATACAAAAATTATTTGGGCACGGTGGTGCGCACCTATAGTCCCGGCTACTTGGGAGCCTGAGGCAGGAGAATCGCTTGAACCCGGGAGGCAGAGGTTGCAGTAAGCTGAGACTGCACCACTGCACTCCAGCCTGGGCGATAGAGGAGATTGTCTCAAAAACAAAACAAAACAAAACAAAACAAAAAGAAATGCTGGTTCGGGAGACGCACAGCCCTAGACTTTTGGGCTATATCCTTGTCAGTGACTGTTGACCAGCTTCTAGTTGTTACAAGGACACCTGGAAGACTGGAGACCCAGTTGAGCCAAGCGTGGGGCACATCAGGAAGACTAGGAGATGGAAGAGCACTGGTCCCCTGGGCTGCTGGCCCTCTTCTTGCTCTGACGTCCAAACGCAGAGGTTGGGAACGGGGAGCAGTCAGGCAAGGAATGTGCAGCTGCTACCAGAAAGAAGCGTTGCTCCCTTTGCCATTTTGCCAAAATACAGCCATTCACTGTGATAGCTTAAGAGTGGGTCTTGGGCCGGGTGCAGTGCCTCACACCTATAATCCCAGCACTTTGGGAGACAGAAGCAGGTAGATTGCTTGAGCCCAGAAGTTCAAGACAACCTGGGCAACACGGCAAAACTCCATCTCTACCAAAAAAGATACAAAAATTAACTGAGCATGGTGGCACATGCTGGTAGTCCCAGCTACTCAGGAGGCTTAAGTGGAAGTTAGGTTTGAGCCTAGGGAGGTGAAGGTTGCCATGAGTCAAGATCTTGCCACTGTGCTACAGCCTGGGCAACAGAGCCGGACCCTGTCTTAGAAAAAAAAAAAAAAAAGAGTGGGTCTTCTCTATCTGAACAGGTTAAGTGTGTGTGTGCGAGAGAGAGGGTGGAGGAGGAGAGGAGGAATGGGAAGACGAGGAGTTATTCTCTCCTCTTGTTCTGTATAGAAAGCATATCAGATGACATTCTCCCCAGGAACCTCAGCTGAACTCTGGGATGAAGCATTAAAGGGGCAGGGGCAGGTCTTCCCATAGACCCTCCCTGCCCCCAGCTAGGCCCCGAGGACCCAAGAATCAGCCAAAAGAATGTAAGGAGATCTCATCCTGTTTGCTATCCCCTTTGTAACTTGCTCCTGGGGAAAACAAGACACAATGCTAGCTCCTTCCCAGGCCCCTGAGGCGTGATCACTCCTGTTCCAGGGAGGGCTTAAGAAATCACAGTGGCCAAACAGCCCAGCCTCTCTCTCTCCCAGGCAGTAACCATGGCGGGGGGTGGGGAATGGGGCAGTAACCGTCTGGAGGGGGAAAAAAAAAGAAATGTCAGAGGACATTTCTCAATCTGAGGGTGTGAGAAATACTTATGTACCTTAGAGTTTGGAAAGCCCTTTTTTCAGTTAATCCTTAAAACAACCTTGTGAGTTAGGCATTAGATAACCTTTTGTCAAACAGTTGTAGGTTTTGTTTCACCTAAATCCTTCAAACTTCAGTTTCATTTCCTCTGCAAAGTTAGAGGCCTGTCCTTGGTTAAATTCCACCACCGCTGTGGGCAGAAATAATCCTTTTTATGCCTAATTTTATTTGGGCCTGGTGTATCTGCCCTACACGAGCACAAAAACTCCCTGCCCTGCTGCAGGGCCCTCCTTGGCCTCCTTCCTCACTGCCTCTCTGTCTCCTGCCTTGCCGCCCCTCCAGTGACCTCAGCGTCTCATGGCAGCACTCATCAGCTCTGCCCTCTCTCCTCCCAGGTGCCCCAGGGCTGCTGTTCTCCTCTGGGATACACCCCAATAGGCACCCACCTCCCTTCCAACACCATCTCCTAGCCCATCTGACCCCACCAGGTGACAGCACATCTAGCTGCCTCCCTGAGCCAGCAGGACATTCCTCCAAAGGCTGACCAAAGGCTCAGTGGAGCAAACAGATATAGAAGGTGCAGGGAGCCATGTGGGTTGTTTATGAGCAATCGGGGCCATTAGGAAAAGCTCCTTTGGCCTTTGGCCTACTTCAGACCCAGGATAGGCATTCTCCCAGTGTCTTCTGCATGGGGATGCTGGAGAACTGTTGGGCAAAATAGGCTTTGTAGATTGGCCCTGAAGCCTAGCCATGATACGACATTATTCCTGTAGGGGAAAAATGTGCCCTAAGTTCCCACATACGTTCATCACTGCACTGTTCACAATAGCAAAGACACGGAATCAACCCAAGTGCCCGTCAGTGGTAGACTGGATAAAGAAAATGTGGTATATATATATACCATGGAATACAATGCAGCCATAAACAGGAATGAGGTCATGTCCTTTGCAGGGACATGAATGGAGCTGGAAGCCATTATCTTCAGCAAACTGACATAGGAACAGAAAACCAAACACTGCATCTTCTCACTTACAAGTGGGAGCTGGACGATGAGAACACATGGACACAGGGAGGGGAACAACACTTAGCGGGGCCTGGCAGGGAAGGGCGGTGGTGGGAGAGTATTAGGGAAAAGAGCTAACGCATGCTGGGATTAATACCTAGGTGATGGGTTGTTAGGTGCAGCTGACCACCATGACACACGCTTACCTATATAAAAACCTTCACATCTTGCACATGTACCCTGGAACTTAAAAAACAAACAAATAATTTTTTAGAAAAAGAAACAATAGAGAATTTTTAAAAAATGTGCCCTAAGTTCCAAACAACTGGCTTACAAAAGAGCCCTTGTTGTGTGGCACCAGTGGCTTCTTCATTATCAATATCCCTAACTTGGGGGGGTGAGATCTTGAGACCCAACGGTTTCTAAAATGGGTAGGATTCAGAGCAACAGGTTACTGACCTATCTTCTGTTGAACCTCCTTTGCCCCAAAGGTGAAGGGTGGAGGCAAGACAGGGAACTGTTGGGCACTGATTATATTCCAGGTGTTAAATGCTTACCTTAAGTATTTCACTGATTCTCACAGCAACCTGAAAGGTAAGTATTATTACCCCCATTTAGAGCAGGGGAAAATGAGTCTCAGAAATGAAGTAACTTGCTCAAGATTTATTAGCGAGTCACTGCCCCCTGCAGGTCTGCCCACCCCCAAAGCCATGCTTTTTCCTGCACATGCCTGGAGGGGGTGGGGTGGGCATGATGCTGGGCCCTGACCCTCCTAGGACCTCGTGTTTCAGGAGAGCCGTATCTACGCTGTGGCCACATCGGGCATGCGGCTCTCAGACGTGTCTCCCAGAAGTAATACTGCCTGCTGCGGTGAGTTCCACATGTGGGAACTTAGGGCACATTTTTCCCCTACAGTGAGTCCCCACGTGACGCTTGGAGGCACCAAACACCCAAGGTGGGCAGGGTGGGCAAGCGGGGAGGAGAAGACTCCAAGCAACACCCAGGGCCAATGTTGCCTGGCACCCTGTTCCCCTCCCCAGCAGGTGAAGTTCAGGTGAAATCACAGCAAGGCCCACCTAGGAGGGAAAGGGAAGTTGTACAGGTTCAGCCCATCACAGGGAAGTAGCCAGTCACAGAGCTGGAAGGGATCTGAGAGGGGGGCATCCAGCCCAGCCTCCCACCTGCACAGGCTTCCCTTCTGCAGTGCCAGGGCCGTGGGTGGGAGGAGTCCCAAGTGTCCTGATTTACATGGACCCCACTCACTGGCTCCTCTCCAGCCAGCCACCAAATCTCCACAAGGGGGGGCTGTGGGGTGGTCCCATAGCCGCATGATTTGTAACTCACATCTGCAACAGTGGAACACTGTGCAAACGTCATGGAGGAGAAAATGGTTAAAGGGTAAGGCCTTTGGATTCTATTGTGAGGGATCCTTTACCACATGGAGATCATGGTCCCCAAAGTGAGTCAAGGGGAGAAGATGAACAGAGCCCTGGCCCCCCTCTTGAGATCTGTCACCAGCTTGCTCCTGGAGGGAATGCCATCTGCCCCGTTCTCTGCTTCTCCCACACCTCTTCCTGGGTTATGCCCTTGAGTAATCTCATTCCTCTCTTCCCTGCTCAGCTTCAAGCCCTCCTGCCCTTGCTTCCCCTGGGTCTTTCTCTGGCCTGGTCTACAAGAATGTCACTGTGCCTGTCTACACAGCACTGAAGGGGGTAAGAAACTGCTGCACAAATAGGGGGTGTCTCATCAGCAAAGGCCCCTGGCCTCATCATCCAATGACCGGAGCGGGGCTCTAGGGCCAGGCTTCTTTATTTTATTTTATTTTTTATTATTATACTTTAAGTTCTAGGGTACATGTGCATAACATGCAGGTTTGTTACATATGTATACTTGTGCCATGTTGGTGTGCTGCACCCATCAACTCGTCAGCACCCATCAACTCGTCATTTACATCAGGTATAACTCCCAATGCAATCCCTCCCCCCTCCCCGCTAGGACCAGGCTTCTGCACATGGTTACCCTGGCCAGGGAGCTCAGCCCAGCATATATCATTTTGTTTTATTGTTTATTAGGTTGTTATTATAAAAATTCCACATTTACAAAAATTTGAATCAGTATGAATGTGGACAAGGTAAGAAGGTTAAGCCTATGCCCGCTGTATGGGCCTCCCCGTCTTTTCTCATGTCTGCCCCACTCCCCAGGTCCCAGAGGGCAGCAGGGCTCCTTCTAGAATTATTTAGGTATATTCCAACTTATATTCCCGTAACGTCATTACATTTTAAAAACAAAAATCAGATATAATTGCAATATTTTCATACACATTTTTGTCTCTGTTATTGGTTTGTGAATCATAATAGTAATACTTGATAAAATTTTTTATAGAAGGATAAAAAACCAAAAGTGAAATTTCCCCTCACATGGCTTATCCCTAATTCGTAAGTCCAGAGGAAGCTGTCGTGAGTGGTTTAGTGTTTATTCAGTAAGGCCTTTTGATGCATTTATAAATATGCAGCACATTCTCACTGTCTCCTGTGTGCACACAAAAGGTGCTCATATACATGTCATTCTATGCCTTGCTTGTTCACCTAACCACATGAATAACCACATCAGGTTATCCTTCCCTACCTCCTCTTTTTTTTTCCGAGACGGAGTCTGGCTCTGTCACCAGGCTGGAGTGCAGTGGTGCGACCTTGGCTCACTGCAACCTCCACCTCCCGGGTTCAAGCAATTCTCCTGCCTCAGCCTCCCAAGTAGCTGGAACTACAGGCACGCACCACCACGCACAGCTAATTTTTGTATTGTTAGTAGAGACGGGTTTCACCGTGTTAGCCAGGATGGTCTTGATCTCTTGACATTGTGATCCACCTGCCTTGGCCTCCCAAAGTGCTGGGATTACAGGCATGAGCCACCACGCCTTCTATAGGTGTCCAGTACCCTTGGTATCAAAGCACCATAACTATTAATACCTAAAGCTTTCCTCCAATGATAATTTAGGCTGTGTCCCTATTTTTCTCTAATATGAATGTTGCCATGAACATCGCTGTGCACATATGTCTTTGTGAACTTATATCTACATATTTCTGTAGGACAGAGTTCTAGAGGTGGGATTTCTGGGCAAATTATATGCATGTTTTAATTTTTGACAGGTACTGCCAAATTACCTTCTAAAAATGCCTTACACACTAGCGTTTCGTTTTCCTCATCTTCTCCCCATGCTCTCACCAACACTTAGTCACTTTAAATGTTTGCCAATGGAGATGCAATCATCGATTGTTGCGACCCTACACATTTTTAAAGCTTGCATGGCACACATGGTCTGTGGTGTAGCTTTTGGGCCCCCTAGTGGCAAGGAGTGAGGATTACAGTGGGCAGGCGTTCAGTCGTGATGGGCAGCTGCTTTGGGGACCGCAGAAGATGGTGTGTGGGAAGGGAGGCCTGAGAAACATGGAGGTCATGACACAGGAGTGAGGCCAGGAGGGACCTTACACTGGACAGTTGTCTGTTCAGAGTCCTGGCTGGGGGTTGGCCACACCATGGACGCTTGGAGCAGGAGTGCAAGCTGCAGGGTGGGAGAGGACTGTTTTGCAGCCTGAGCTGCAGTGAGGGAGGGGCCTGTCTTGCAGAGAGCCACGCAGATCAGCAACATGCCCTTTATGGACGAGTCCTCTGGGTCTGACGATGACTGCAGCTCTCAGGCGAGTTTCCGAATCTCAGTGCCCTGCTCTGAGTCCAGGAAGACCAGTGGACTAGGCAGCCCCCGAGCCATCAAGAGAGGTACAGAGAAGGGGAGCAGGGGCAGGGTGCAGCAGCAAGGAGTCCCTCACCTCTTCCCATGGGCACTTGAACATGGGGATCCCCACTTGATCTGAGCTCATGACCCCCCCAGCAGCTCCACCTCCAGCCCCAGAAAGCGGGTCCCGAGTGGGTGGTCAAGGCTCAGCAGCTCCCGGGCTGCCTGAGTCAGGGAGGTGTGGGACCCGGGCCTTGACTCCTCCTCCCTCGGCAAGGCGTCTCCATGTCCTCACTGAGCTCGGAGGGTGACTACGCCATTCCCCCAGACGCCTGCTCGCTGGACAGTGACTACTCAGAGCCTGAGCACAAACTGCAGCGCACCTCATCCTACTCCACCGACGGGCTGGGCCTGGGCGGGGTGAGCCGGGAAACGGGCGGGGGCAGGGTGGGAGCAGAATGTCAGCAGAGGCTGCTGGGACCCTCAGCACAAGACACAGGCAGTAGCCGCCTGACGTGAGGGGTCCCTAGAGCTGGGGGATGGGGGCAGGGGGCGTGGGCTGGGGGTGTACAGTTATGGAGTCAGACACAGACCCCACGAGGAAGGAAGGAGGGAGCCCAGAGAGCTCCTGGAATACCAGCAATGGCCAGTTACTGAGAGCCTGCTGTGGCCCACCAGGCCCCGTGAGGAGTTTTCCATATATGACTTTGTTTTATCACCTGGAATGCTAACGCAAGCTAACATTTATTGAACTCTTAGAGGGCACCAGGCACTGTGCTCAGTTTCCAGGCATTGTCTCATTTGTCCTCACAATCCTCTTGGGGTCATTAGCCCATTTTATGGATGAGAAGCCTGAGGCTCCAAGCTGTGCCACTACATGCCAGGGCTAGCATCCATCCAGATGTAATTCCCCATCCCTTGCTCACACCTCTCTACTGCCCCATCATCTCCCTGGCTCCATGACCCTCCAGTCCCGCCTGGCTGGTGTGTCCATGGTCGCCCAGACCTGCCTTGCCCTCTCCCTGTCTGTGCTGCCTGGAATGGTCTTCTTCCTTATCTCAGTCTTTGAGAGAGTGGCTGACCTGTCCTAACAAGGCCAGCTCAGGGCCGGCTCTCTCCTGAGGCTCTCGCTGGCCAGGCTCTCCCTCTAGCAGCCCCTGCTCTGCTACCTTCTCATAGTGAGGCCTTCCCCAGCTAGCACGGAAGCCCTTCCTTGGCAGGACCACCCATGTTTTATTTAGCCCTCCCTGAACCGTAGCAGGGTATGGTATTCTGAAAATACACTGAGTAGGTACTCAATAATTTTGTATTTCATTGATGACAGAGTAGTGAGGCAGCTGGACCACTCGGACCTGTGTGATGTCTGGGAGCCCTGAGTGATTTCCCCTTTCTTCATCTTCCCCCTACACCCTTCCACCCCTCAGGAGTCACTGGAGAAGTCGGGCTACCTGCTGAAAATGGGGAGCCGGGTGAAGACGTGGAAGAGGCGCTGGTTTGTCCTGAGACAGGGACAGATTATGTACTACAAGTCCCCGGTGAGAATCTCCCTGCCCAGCACTGCAGTCGAAAGGACTCCACGTCACACCCTGGACTATGTCAGATGGGATGGAGGAGGGGGAATGTGGCCCAAGGCCAGAGGGCAAAGGTCTGGCAGGTGGGGAGAGGCAACCTCACTGGACACCTGAAGCTTTGAGCCACACTTGGGGACCTAAGCCTGGCCATGAGTTCTCAGAATGAAATAGGGAGGTTCTCAGAAGGACCCATGTTCCTGATTGAGGTTCCATTTAGCTATAACCAGAATCTAGAGTAAGTCACCCATCATAACACAGCCGGAATGCTGGGAGTCGTGTTTCCCTTTGCTTCTGACCTGGAGGAAGAGCTAAGGGTAAATGAGGTGCTCCGGAAAGGCTCCACCTTCAGTGGCTCTCCTCCCCAATACTTTCTGTACAGAGTGATGTCATCCGGAAACCTCAAGGCCAAGTGGATCTGAACTCCCGCTGCCAAATTGTTCGAGGGGAGGGTTCACAGACATTTCAGGTGAGCATGCTCCTAGCTGCTAGTATTTTAGACAGAGAGGTGCTGGGTTTGGATATGGCTATGAGTGAAACAAAGATGGGGCCAAATGAGCATGAATGAAAGACTTTAGATCAACATTTGGATGTGATCCTAACTTTGAGTACAAGAAAGGAAGATGAGATAGAATATGAGAGATGGAGTGAAGGAAGGAGAGACAGGGAGGAAAAGATGAGGAGGAAAAGAAAGGAGGGAGCACTAGGGCAGGCAGAAGGCCGGTCCCTTGGGTTCAGGGACAGGTGCCACCTCGGAGCCAGGTCCCGGTTACTCCATTCTCCCAGCGTGCTGCCCCGCCCCCACATCTTGCCCTCCACAGCTCATCTCTGAGAAGAAAACCTACTACCTGACGGCCGATTCACCCAGCCTGCTGGAGGAGTGGATCCGAGTACTCCAGAGCCTGCTGAAGGTGCAGGCCACCGGGCCTCCAGCTCTGCCTCGGGGGGGCACCAAGCCCACCGTGAAGGGCTGGCTGACCAAGGTACAGGGTGGGGCTGATAGGGCAGGAACGTGTGCCTCCTGCGAGTCAGGGGAGCAAGGAGTGGGGTGCCGAGGTTGGTGGGGTCCCCCTTATACGGGGTTCCTTTCTCTGGGAGCCTCCTCACAGTGACTCGCTGGCCAGCCCTCAAACGTGGTCTGGCCACACAACGTGATGGCGAGTGATTCCCTGGAAACAAATCAGGGTCGTCGGAACAACTATTCTCAAGACAGAGAAGGGAAGGAATTATCTTGTATCCATTTTGAGGTCATTAGGGGCAGTCACCCACCCACACCTTGTACCCACCTCAGTGTTAATAATGGGAGGAAGAGACCTGGGTGAGGTAGGTATGGCCCCTCAAAGACTTAAAGCTTAAAGTATCCCAGGCCTACCCGAAAGACATTTTTATTAGGGCTCTTCTGGTTGAAAAGAGCAGAGAAGCAGTTGTTAATCCCAAGAAAATAGAAGTTAACAAGGAAGTACATTAGCTAGACCAGAACACCAGCAGGAACCAAAGCGACTTGCACTCAGCAAGCTCAGGGCTGGCAGGCTCGCTCTGTGCCTCTGCTTCTTGTTCAGTCTGTTTATGTCATTCTCCTCCACCCATGTGCAGCTTCTGTTCCCTCATGATGCATGGTTGCCCAAGGGCTTCAGCCTGCTGTTTTCCCTCCCTCCCTCCCGGCACCCTGACAACTGTGGCCTCTGCCACCTAGCAAGTTCTTCCCATTTTCATATGCCTGGAGGGGACACCTTATTAGCCTGGCTAATCATTTCATGGCAGGTCATAGGTCACTGAATAGCCCATGATGGCTGGGGTGCCACAGGGCGCCATGGCACCCTCGCTGTGAAAGGGGTGGTTCCATTAGTAGGGAGCCCGAATGGCATCTCCATCTCTACCATAGGTCGAATCTGTCTCTCTGTGGCTTCTCTTTGCCAGTCCTGGATTTGTTTCTGGAGTCACCTAGTTCTCTTTGCCAGTGCTGGATTTACTTCTAGAGTCACCTACTTCTCATAATGCCAGTTCATTTCTGTCTTACAGGTAAAGCATGGCCACTCCAAGCTGGTCTGGTGCGCTCTTGTTGGGAAAACCTTCTACTACTATCGGAGCCATGAGGACAAGGTACTTCCTCAGCCTCCTCACAATACCCACTCTCCTGCTTCCCCTGAAGCATATGACCGCCGCTGCATGTCCTGGTGAAAGTCCCTACCCCACGTAACCCCATGATAAATACAAAACCAGTTGGCTGGTTCCCTCCAGAGTGTGAGATTCTGCCTGTCTGGGTTTCTGGTGCTTCTCCAAGCAAGCCTCATTCTGCTGCCAGCCTGGCTGGGATGCTGTAGTCTCCACCTCCCCATCCTGTTGTCTGTCCATATCCACCATTCCCAGCTCCACGGAGCCTATGTATTCAGAGAAAGGAGACTCCCTTGTCCTCCACTGGCTCTCCCATTCATGGAAGTCTCCTGTCCACAGCGACCCCTGGGCTGCCTGCCTGTGCAGGACGCGCACATAGAGGAAGTAGATCGATCCTGTGACTCAGACGAGGACTATGAGGCTGGAGGAACCAGACGGTTGCTTTCCTCCCACTGCACCCTGGTGATCCACCCCGCAGAGCACAGCCCCACCTACCTCCTCATTGGCACCAAGCATGAAAAGGTAAGGAAGAGGGCTGGGCCTCCAGGACCAGGCTCGGACCTGTGATTCTGATCTTCTCTTCTCTTTCCCCTGAGCTTCTCAAAATTCAAGTTTATTTCCTTCTGGACACTTGGGCAACTAATATTCCCTGAATGGGAATACTCCTTTATACTGAATTTATTCCCAGTGACCAACATTGCTTCACTGAGGCCATGTGATAGAATCGCAAATTTGGAAACTTGGGTTCATGTTCACCTGATCCTCAGTCTTTCCAGGTAGCCCTGACTCATGCCAGCCAAACTAGCTGAACCCCACATGGGCTTGGCCCCTTTAAGGAGTCCTCCTTGGAGCTCTTGCCTCCACTCTTCCCACCCCGTCCCCATCCGATGGCTTTCTGCCCTCTTCCAGGATACGTGGCTCTACCACCTCACAGTGGCTGCGGGTGGCAGCAGTGCCAAGGTGGGCACTGCCTATGAGCAGCTCATTGGAAAACTGATGGATGGTGAAGGAGACCCAGGTAAGGCAAGGGTGGCCACCACTGCTTGGGTCAGAGGGTAGTGGCTTGGTGACTATTGGTCCAGATTCCAAAGAAAGCAGTGTTGTACTCTGAAGCTGTTTTTAAAACATCTAAGCCACAGAGAGGAAGTTCCCATCCAAGCTCCAGGGCCCCTCTGTCTCCGGCTGAGACACTGAGGTGACCACTCTGCATCTGGGGGAGTTTATCTGGGAAGCAGGCTTTCCAGGGACCTGGGTAAATGTTTTACTTGGATCAACCTGCTGCGTTGCTGGCTGGGCAGAGGGTTGAGGAAAGAAGGTAGCTGGTTAATCTATAGTTAAGAGTTTGTAAATCAATGAGTGAAGCCTAAATTGGGATCGGACTAACCTGTTTGGAGTCTTTGTTTTGCTACTGATTCTCAGGGCCCTGAGGAACTGATTAATGGCATATACCACATACACCCCTTTACTACTGCTCTGAGGCTTGTTTCTGACCAATTCATGTGCTCCTCCATCCAGACCTGACACAGTAAGAAAGCGGCTCCCCTGCACACATCCACTTGCACTCAGACACCCATAACCTTGCACACTCACCCCTACTGCCATTCCATGAGAAAGGTCATGCTTATATGAGGGTGCTCATTGCAGTGCCCACCTGTACCCCCCACACTCCATGGATGATAAACCCAGCACAACCCAAGTGTCGCAGATAAACCACTCTCTTCCCCATAAATTAAAGATGGCAGTGAATGGGAGGTGAGTCCCCTCTCAGTAGTAACTGTCCCTGCTCTCTGGTTCTGTGCTTTGGGCAGATTCGCCGCTCTGGAGGCACCCCATGCTGTGCTACAGCAAAGACGGCCTATACGCCTCCCTCACCACCCTGCCCTCTGAGGCCTTGCAGACGGAGGCCCTCAAGCTCTTCAAGGTAAAGGGGGGTGGCGGCCAGGCCCACCGCTGGGATACTTGCAATACCTGGGTGGAGAAGGCCTGTGCCGTTGGGGACAACCCACAGAGGGATCTGGAGAGGAAGGGAAGGAAACTTCCTGGGGTCCCTATCACTTCCTGGATGGCAGGAATGTAATCCTGTCACTGGGAGGGAAGCAGCTCTGGAACGTCATGCACAAGTCCTTGGGAAATGCCAATGAAAACTCTCTCTGGGGGAGCTCCCCTCCTCCTGTAGTTAAGCAGAAAAGGCCAGGTTTATGTTGCTTCTGGACCTGAGAGATTCGGACCTATTTTAGCATGTTCTTTGTGAACGTCTGAGTTTTCTGGTTTTTTTTTTTTTTTTTTTTTTTTTAATGCATTTGTCTTGTTTATGTAATGAGAACATTTTAAAAAGGAAAGCTTCTACCCCAAAGTAGCCCATAGCCCCTTTTAGTAAGCAGAGATGCCCTCCAACAGTAGCAGTGCTCCCTCTTAGAAAGGGCTGTCAGTAAACTTAAACCTCCCTGGAGCCCTTGGGAAATGGCCAAGCCGCTGAGTTCTCCGAACCCAGGGGATGCTGGTCTGCTGTGCTCACTGCCGTTCCCTCCCAGTCCTGCCAGCTCTTCATCAACGTGCCGGTGGAAGCTGCCTCGGTGGACTACCACGTGTCCTTGGCCCAGACCGCACTGCAGGTCTGCCTGGTTCACCCCGAGCTGCAGAGTGAGATCTATTGCCAACTCATGAAGCAGACCAGCTGCCGCCCGCCTCAGAAGTACTCCCTCATGCAGGTAGGTATGCCAGGGGTACAGCAGCTGACAGAAGCCATTGGCAAGGGCTGGCAGGTGGGAAAGGTGGGAGGAGGTGACTGGACAGGCATACTGTGAGCCCAGCCAGTGGCCAGCCTCCGTGCTCCAAGCTGCATCAGTACAGCTGAGCTGTCTGTGCACAGACAGGTGATTGCATTCTGGACACAGCCTGACCAAGCTGGCTGTCCCAGCACCCACAGCAAGTTGGGGGCTCTGGTTTGGGGAAAGAGTGCTGAAGGCTTTGTAACTCAGGGCTATGAGGACAGGTAGTGCTGTAGGCCCAGCACTCACCCTACGCTGTGTGTGTCCCTGGCAGTGCTGGCAGCTCCTCGCTCTGTGTGCTCCACTTTTCCTGCCTCAGCATCACTTCCTCTGGTATGTCAAGCAGCAGCTCCAACGCCATGCAGATCCCAGGTGAGTGAACCTGGCCATTTCCTCTGCCACTTGAGCATTGCTAACTGCAGCATGAATAAGAGGGATGAGAGGAGTCTAGGACAGACCAGATCGCTCCTGTCCTCTGAAACCACTCAGTGGTGGTGGAGACTTCACCCATTGCCATGTGCACAAATGGGTATGTGGGAGTCTGGGCATGCTTAAGCTTCTCTGCATGCCAATCCATGCATCCCTGGAGGTACTGTGGCAACTCTTGCATAAAGCCACACTGCCCCCAAACTGTCCGCAAATGCTATTCTGTGGTTATGTTCTCTGGGTTCTGGAAGAAAATATCCATGCCAGCAACCTGGTATGTAAAGGTCCTGAATGACAAATTAATGCCCCAGACCAGAGTCTTCAGGGCTTTTCTCACAACCTGCCCCAGCTACAGTTTTGGTCTTGGCTGAATCTGGATAGGGACCTGGGGTGCCAAAGTGGCAGGGATGAGCAGTGTCCATAATACTCCCTTATTCTGTCTTTTTAGAAGTGAAACTGGCCAGTATGCCACCTACTGCCAGCGGGCAGTGGAGCGGACCCTGCAGACTGGGGAGCGGGAAGCCAGGCCGTCACGCATGGAAGTGGTGTCCATCCTGCTGCGTAACCCCTTCCACCACTCCTTGCCCTTCAGCATCCCCGTGCACTTTACCAACGGGACTTATCAGGTGAGGAGCTGGGCGTGCTCCTTGCCCCGAGTCTTCTCACGTCATCATCCAGAGAATACCTCTGGGCCAGGTGGATGCTAAAGCTCCTTAGGCTTGGCAGATTCTTCACTGGTGCCCCAGAAGTAGATCTTATGAACTCATTGCATGAACAGGGAAGCTGAGATGCTGACTAAGAAAGTGGCATAAGAAAGGGCCTCCAAAAGATTGTTGGTAAAGGAGGGACCCAGGTATGCCCGGTAAAATTTACAGTGGATGGGCTCACATCCCTCATGCACTGGCCCTTTGCCTATGAACACAGAAACCAACTTGCTTTGGCCTCTTGTATTTGTCTTTGCTCCTTTCCACCTGCTGTACCCAGTCCCCTCCACCAGCCCTAGTGAGCTCCTCTTGGGAAGTTCACTCAGGGGTGGAACCCTTCTCCCGTCTCAGGTGGTTGGTTTTGACGGCTCCTCCACGGTTGATGAGTTCCTCCAGCGGCTGAACCAGGAGATAGGCATGAGAAAGCCATCCCACTCTGGCTTTGCCCTCTTCACGGACGATCCCTCTGGCAGGGACCTGGAGCACTGCCTGCAGGGAAGTGTCAAGGTGACAGCCTCCCACTGAGCCGGCTGAGCCCCTCCCTGCTCAGGGATATTGGTGGTGGGGAAAGAGCCCATTTGATGGGTGCCTGACTGTTTGGTAGCTCATTTGGTGCTGAGCCCAAGGTGCTGCCCTAGTCAGCATTTCTGTGCCATCCTAAAATGTACCTGGGGAGGGAGAAAAAAGCTGTTGTGTGCCCTTGTCTCTGGAGACAAGATCGCTACACTCCTACTTCCCTCGAGTGGCTGTGCAGCATCCAGAAGAAAAGCCTCTTCTTGGCTTGGTGTAGGGACAGCGAGGCCCCACGAAGCCACTGCCTACATGCGCCTACTCAGAGGCTCCCAGCTGTATGCCTGGACCCCCCAGATGTCATGTGGTACCCAGCACCTCACTTTTACGCTTTCTGCCAGGGTCTATGCCATGCTTATAGGTTGAACCACACTTTTAAAGAGGCAGGTCCTTATGGTGCCCCTATAAGTAAAGGCCGTTGAATGGAATTTAAGGTCAATCTTGTATTATGGTCTGGGCTTACTGCCCTAGGGGATAAGTGTTTGTGAGAATGTGCTCTAGCACTTTGATGCATATTTGGCTCCAGTGTGTGCTTGTCTTTAACAGGACAGAGGCTCCTATGGTCTTTTAACATTGCCTGGAAAAACTATGCCACATACCTTCTTTGCCAATGTCTGGGTGTCTGTGAGGCTTTGTGACATGGTAGGCCTCTGGGCATATTTGTTGAAAAGGAGAATAGCAGTCAGTGGAATGGAAATAGAGCTGGTGATCAAAGGCCATGGAGCTGCCTAGCCTCTGGGGAGGCCCCTCAGCTGGTGAGGCCAGCAGGGCAGATTTCTTGCTTTATTGCTCACCCTGTCCAGGGTTTCCTCTGTTTGTGAGGGAGCCGCTGCCACCTTGGGTCCAGGAAGCATGAAGCTCCGCAGGTCAGCCTCCTGGTGGGAGGACCTTTCCTTTGTTTTCTTTGCTTTTCTGCTCTGAGTCCAGCCCTGGCTGGACCTTAATCCCTTCTCTCCTTATCAGGACATTTTCTGACTTTCTTCTTTTGCCTTTTCAAGATCTGCGATGCCATCTCCAAGTGGGAACAAGCCATGAAGGAGCTGCACCCCGGAAAGTCTGAGGGTGGGACACGCGTCGTGAAGCTGATGTACAAGAACAGGTCCTCAGCACTGCACGAGGGTGGGGCTAAACACGAGGGCTGCCACTGGGTGCCAGCCCATCGCCTCCTCGACTAGACAGCCTATCCAGACGGGGGAGGGGCCCACAGATATAACGCTGCCTGGCAGTCACTAGCTGGGGTGCAGGCTGGCTCTGCTGCTGATACTCTGTGAAACCCTGGGCAGCTCAGGCCTTCTGTCAGCCTTCCCTGTACTGCTTGTGTGTGTGTGTATATGCACGCGCACGCACACACATACATTTGCCAAGAAAACAGACCAGACCAGCCTGGGCAACATGGCAAAACCCCGCCTCTATAAAAAATACAAAAATTAGCTGGGCATGGTGGCATGCACCTGTAGTCCCAGCTACTCAGGGGGACTGAGGTGGGAGGATCACTTAAGCCCGGGAGGTCGAGGCTGCAGTGAGCTGAGATTGCACCACTGCACTCCAGCCTGGGCGACAGACTGAGACCCTGCCTCAAAAAAAAGGAAAGAAAAGAAAATAGACCAACCTCATGGGATGGCTAAGTGTGTTACTTTATGAGAGTGAAATTTTGTATAAGCTCCAGCTAGTTAAAGCTAAAGAGTATGTACCTCCTATACCAATTCCAGGAAATACAGAAGTAGACATCCCGACTTTCTATCAATTTGGTTAAGAAAATCCCATCCCTCCATCTCAGTATGTCTCCAGGCAAATAGTTTCCAATAGTCTCTTGGACTCTTACCTCATCCAGTCCCTTAATCTGTAACTCCAGGTACCAGATTTCCCTTACTAAATCCAGTAAGTTTAATGGTGTCTTCAGAATGAACCATGTCCTCCTGTATCAGCATGACCTTCATCTGCTCTGTGCCATACTTGGTTATATGTTTCTGGAGGCAGTACAAAATAGGCTTATAAATAGTGGGAAAAGAGTAGTTTCTTCTTTTGGAAATAAAGGTAACAAACCCAGAGAAAGCCTCATCCCTGTCTGGGATCCCTGCTGAGTCCTGGCTTCTTATTCTCTGCTTCGCAGGCTGTACTTTCGCAGTCAAGTCAAAGGGGAGACGGACCGAGAACGGCTGCTCCTTGCCTCTCAAACTAGTAGAGAGATAGTGGCAGGGAGGTTGCCCGTCAACAAGGAATTGGCTCTTGAGATGGCTGCCCTGATGGCCCAGGTAAGGTTTTGTTCAGGAAGCAGGAGGGTGGGGTTGCCAGCTTAGAATGAATGCACCATGCAGCCCAAAACACAGGAAAGATTCTGCAGATCCTGTGGTGCTCAGGAGAAGGCAGCTTTGCCATCTCTGGGATGGACAACAGCTGACTCCTACAGAGCAGAGCTCCTCACTCACCGCAGATACAGGATGCGTGCAGATGGCTGGACTTGGAATCCAGAGACTGGGTTTGAGTCCTTCCAACTGTGAGGTCTTAGCCAAGTCACTTCACTTCTCTATGCTTTAGTTTCCTTCTCAGTATACCAAAACCAAAAATATTTGGCCAGGTGCAGTGGCTCATGCCTGTAATCCCAGCACTTTGGGAGGCTGAGGTGGGCGGATCACCTGAGGTCAGGAGTCCGAGACCAGCCTGAGCAGTGAAACCCTGTCTCTACTGAAAAAAATAAAATAAAATACAATAAAAATTAAAATTAGCTGGGTGTGATGGTGGACGCTTGTAATCCCAGCTACTCAGCAGGCTGAGGCCAGAGAATCACTTGTACCCAGGAGGTGGAGGTTGCAGTGAGCCAAAATCGTGCCATTGCACTACAGCCTATGCAACAAGAGCAAAACTCGGTCTCAAAACAAAACAAAACAACAACAACAACAACAAAAACACCTCTGCCAGCCTCCACAGGGTTGTACTAAGTATGATACCTGGATAATGTGTATCATGTAATAGATGTGGTAAACTTTATAAACCATCAGACCTTCTAAGTAGAATTAGGAAGAGGAACACACATTCAGACTTGGACTGTCCTTCCTGTTATATTTAGAAGGCCATCTTGTCAAAGGTATCTGGGATACCTTCATGGCTCCCGTAAGAGCCATGATAAAATCGTTGGTCTTGTCTGTAATTAGTATTCCAAAGGTTCAGGTGGTGTTGCATCTCAGTAGCAATGTTCAGCTAGCAGGTAAAGGGGCATATAAGAGAGTCTGACACCTACTATATACCCACAAAAATTAAAAGTTAAAAATATTGTAAAAAAGAATAAGAATCTGGATTTACATGCTGGAAAGGAAGAGGAAACAATAATAGTTGATGTTTATAATTAAAAAGATAAGAATACCCTCTAGGAGGCCCTGAAATAAGCATATATGCATCCTCCATTGTAGTTTTTATTCGCACCTAATAGATGAGGAAATTGAATTTCAGAGAGTTTAAGTAACTTGATCAGGGACACAAAGCTGGGATTTGTGCCAGGTATCCAACTCCAGAGGCCACATTTGGAACACTTTGCTGTACTCTAGGATCTGTAGCATCTTCAATTCTATAGCCCATATTTTTGGACTGGAAGCCAGAATTTCCACACTGTTTTCCCTTGTGTGCTACCAATTAACTGTGTCTTTGGAAAAGGCACTTTACCTCAGCTGCAAAATCAAAGTTGGTCAGTGATCTCTAATATTCTAGGGCCCTAAGTTTGTTTCTCCAGTGTCTGTAAAACTTGAGATGAAGTGTTTTTCTAAAGTATTTTTCACATCCACTAGCACCCCACCAAGAGGGTAATAAAGTAATGGTTTATTTCACCTCTCAACAGCCCCCACCTGGCCCATCCACCGTCAGATTTTGACTGGTCTCTTCATGTGCTTCTATCACAGGTAGAATATGGGGACTTGGAGAAGCCTGCCCTGCCAGGCCCTGGAGGCACATCCCCTGCCAAGGCTCAGCATCTTCTCCAGCAGGTCCTAGACAGGTTCTACCCCAGGCGCTACAGACATGGGGCTCCCCCCGAACAGCTGAGGTAGGTAGGCTTGCAGCCACTGTGGGGAGGCCTCAGGGCTGGAATGAAGACATGTTGGCACTTCACTGGCACTATTTCTCTCCATCTGCCCACACCAGGCACCTGGCAGATATGTTGACCACAAAGTGGGCAACATTGCAAGGCTGCTCCCCTCCTGAGTGCATCCGCATCTACCTGACTGTGGCCAGGAAATGGCCTTTCTTTGGTGCTAAGCTTTTTGCTGCTCAGGTAAGTGCCCGTGGAAGGAGCTGCCCACACCCTTAGGTGTGTCCCCATCTGCTCATGTTTCAGCCATACCAGTTTGCAGCCCCCGCCTCCATACCAGTAACCACCAGGGGTCACTATCCCTCCACCATTTCTGGCCTACTGGATTTCCAGTCCAGAGCAGAATTGTGATTGCTTATCTTCATCTGGCCTTTGTTGACTGCCCCAAAAGAAAAGATGTGATCAACTAATTCACACACACAGATTCAGACTTGATATAACAGCCCTCTCAAGAGTGCTTTCATTTGTTTTAAAGTTTGAAAGAACAATGTATAACCTAAAGAAATACATCTCCACTGGTTTGACATGGCATACAGGGGAATCAAATTACTTAGGCAGCCGTTAATTTCACCTCTGTATGAAGGCCAGGTGGCCAACAGTAATTTCAGAAGGAACTTTTCTTCACTGGGTGTCTGCTGTGCATAAACATTGTAGATAATTACAGCTCAAAGCTGGGCAGTGATCCTGTTTACTGAAGCCACAGATCGGAAAATGGCCATCCATTCATTCAACAAATAGTTGAGCTCCTACTATGTCCAGTGCTGGTTGTTTGAGGTTATAAGAGGTGAGAAAATCAGACACGGTCCTTGCCTTCCTGGAGTTTCCCATCTAGTGCAGGAGATGTATATTCATCAAATAATCGTATTCATTTTTTTCTCTATATATTTAATATATATTTATAAGCCATCACAAGTGCTATGAAGGAGATGTACAGAGGTGTTATAAAGGCATGAAACGGGGACCCACTTGGTCTGGGAGCTTGGGAAAAGCTTCTGAAAAAGGCGACATGTCCAATGTCTATCTGCCTCCCTTTGGATTAAGAGAGAGGTTTTCTGGATTACCATACCGTACTCCTGGCAGTGAAAATCAGTCATTACAGGAATGTCCACTAAATAGTCACTTCCTTACTGATAGGGCCTAAAGCCACAGGACTGCATTCTTGCTTTCCTATTTCCTTTACAGCACCTAGGAGATTGGCTGAAGTCAGAAGCACTTCAGCTTGGAGACTATAGGTGGAATGCTGTGTTTCCAAGACTAGGAGAAAACCACCTGTTCCCCATTCCCCTAATAGAGTGGCCAGGGCTAGCCTCTATTCTGTAGCACAGAGCTTTCCATCCAGTGTGCTGTGGCAGCATGGGTGCTAGGGACACCAAAAGAATGATCGCCTCTGCTGTTGAGATGGTTAGTAGGTGACCAGAGCCCCAAGGCCAAGGGTCTCCTGTCACAAGCAGCCTTGTCTATTTTCTGCATACGCTGTACAAATACCGTCTGTTTTCCAAGATGAGGTGGCTGGAAATTACTGCTTAGCAGATCCCTGGATGTGCCTTCTTTCTCAGAAAGTTCTTATAGTTCAAAATCTGTAACTATGGATCTATCTGATGGGTTGTTTCTGTTTCCCCAGCCTGCCCAGCTATCTTCCAAGGAGAATGCTCTGGTGTGGATTGCTGTGAATGAGGATGGTGTCAGCATCCTGGACCACAACACTATGGTATGAAAGGATGCAGGCTGCTCCTTGACCCCTCTTCTTCCTCAACATGGTCTTTCTTCTCCTCTGTGGACTCAAAAGCCGGAACCAAGTGACCATGGCTGCTCTACCCCCACTCCTGCCCAGGCACCACTGTCATCTAGTCTAGACAGTGCTTGTAGACATTCAAGATGGAGATCTCCAAATTATGACCACTTGGGAGTTCTCCTTTCCTGTGCCTAGAAGGAAGAGACAGGGGATGCTGGTTCCTAGCTCAGGGGACAGGTGGAAAGTTTCCCCAGAATTGACTGGTTCCTTTCCACAGCAAGTGCACGTCACTTACCCCTACTCTTCAGTGACAACCTTTGGTGGCTGCAGGGATGACTTCATGCTTGTGATTAGATCTATCCCAGACAAGACCTCTGGAAAGAGCCACATTGAGAAGCTGATCTTCCGGATGGCTGCTCCCAAGGTAGGTCTGACAGCTGCTAAAACGTTCTACTCTGGCCAGATGTGGTGGGCTTGGAGCTTACAAAGGAAACTGGGGTTATGCTAGTGCTCTACAAGGGCCCTGCCCAGATAAAATTGTTGGTCTTGTCTGTAATTAGTATTCCGAAGGTTCAGGTGGTATAGCATCTCAGTAGCAATGTTCAGCTAGTAGGTAAAGGGGCATATTCGGAGGGAACTAACTCTGGCCTAGCTACTATTATGCTCTTCACTTATTCTTTTTTATTCTCTCAAGCCCCAGCATCACGCAGTCCTCAGTTGGGTGTTTACGTGCTCTTCTCTTCCTTGCAGCAGGCCTCGAGGCAGGGCAGATTCCTCTTTAAGGTGCTCTCATGTTACCCCTAGGTTCTGCTGACCCAACACTAGCTGAAAAGTGGGACAGTCCCACAGTGCTCCCTCTTCCTTGTTGTGGGGAAGACGGCAAAAAGACCGCTTTTGCTTTAATGACTTTGCTCCTACTCAATACAGGAAGTGTTGACCAGCGAAAATAACAATTACAAAGGCTCAGGAACCTAAGTTCTGATTTATTGTTCCTGACTCCCCTGTGATTACCTGGAAACCCTGTTGTTCTCCACTTTTTAATCCTAAAGTTAAGAGTTTGCCAAACCTACTCCTCCTTTAATACCACCCCTGCCAAAGGGGAGGATCTCCAGATCCCTTTCTTAAGAAGGCCCCTTCCCTGGTTGTAGAGCTAACCAGGGCAGAACACTGGGCCTCCTTTTCTCAGAAAGGCACTGTGCATCTCAGAGGATCGCCAGACCAACAGGGGCCCACACCACTGGGCCTCTGAACCGCACAGTAATGGTTCCCTTTGGATATTTTCTCCCAGGTGGGTATTTTAAGAGATTAAATAAATTGAGGCCCGAGAACTCAGTATAAGAGCTAATAAGTGAGAAAAACAGGATTCAAGCCAAGGCTAGTTCAATTCCTTCACGTCTCTGACCTCCTCTTAGATTGCAGAAGCTACCTTCATCATGGCCAGCTATATGAACCATTGCTCTACAACTGTGAACCCACCCACCAACCTACCCGGAGCCTGCCAGCTGTGGGAACTGGATGGACAACAGTTCTTTTCTTCTGTTTCCTGTGCTACCAAGGGGCCAACGTTGCTGTGAATATTTCTCCTACCCGATTCCCCACTACCACTAGTGCCTCTGGATTTAGAGATATATATCCTAGGGTATGATACTACTGTGATGGGTCTAACAGCCCCCCACCACTGTTCTTCTGTGAAATGTGTATTTTAGTGTCTGTGAAGCCTTTATTCTCTAGGTGCCTTACAAGGTTTCAGGGCTCAACTTTGAAAAATCTAGACCCAGTGTTAAAACCACTTATTCCTTTTTTCGTAAGAAGAATGACTCTGGATGCTACCCGATTCTAGACATAGACAGGGATGATACACTGTTACTGAGGGCATCAGTGCTGTAAGTTAAGGCTTTCTGCACTGATACTCTCAAGGAAGCTAATTTTCTTTTTGGTGGGGTGGGGGACACAGTCTCACTACGTTGCCCAGGCTGGAGTGCAAAGGCGTGATTTCGGCTCACTGCAACCTCTGCCTCCTGGGTTCAAGCAATTGTCCTGCCTCAGCCTCCTGAGTAGCTGGGATTACAGGTGTGTGCCACCATGCCCGGCTAATTTTTGTATTTTTAGTAGAGACGGGGTTTTACCATGTTGGCCAGGCTGGTCTCAAACTCCTGACCTCAGCTGATCCACCCACCTTGGCCTCTCAAAGTGCTAGGATTACAGACATGAGCCAACGTGCCCAGCCTGGAAGCTAATTTTTTAATATTGTATATGGTCTTATTTATACTTGAAGTTTTCTGAACGTCGCTAAACAGGATAGGACTAAAATTTCCAATTCTCCTACACTGTCAGAAGCCTAGAACTCACTAAACTGCGCTGCCTTGCCCAAATGGGAAAGGTGCTGGCAGAGTTGGAGAAAAAAGAATAGACTCACTTTTCCCCATTATTGGTATGTAGGCATTGGTACAGCCCCTTCTGTGGCAGTCTTTGCAGGATAACATGCTATCCCTGCTAAGATTCAAGCTGTTTCCCTCACACTGGACTGTAGGCCAAACCCAGTACCACACAATGTGCAAGCAAGGGCAGGGGGTAGGTCCAATCTGACCCCTCCCTGTCTCATTTTAACGACTGGACAGGGCTCGGTGAAGGCTGTGTTCACTATAGTGGGCCATCATTTGTTTCCTTGTTCTTGTAAAAGACCAAGCAAATGCACTCTGCTTTTTGCTGCTATAAGACTACCAAAAATGAGTCAGAAACACAGAAGACTATTTCAGGCATGTGGGCCTGGATATGCTCCTTAAGACTTCTGGCAAACTTCTGCTGGGAATTAGTTTGAGGGTGAGGATACGTATGTGACACTTGCCCTAGCCTACGAGTAGCAGGTAAAAGAAAGTTTCTTTCCTCCTTTGCCTGACTGATAATACCATAATCCCCCTCAATTCAGACCTTCTGACTGAGTGCAGAGGAGACTAGACAGTCTCCTCTAGACAGGGTGTAGACACACCCTCCCTTAACAAAAACAAAATGAAAGAGTTCATACACTGATTTTCCAACATCTAAGAAACTGAGTTTTATTTCCTAGCTCTAAGGCAGCCTTACTATCTGTCAATAAAGTGCTGAAAACTGTATATTTAGCAGTAGCACCCAAAACCAAGCCCTTAATCCCAACAATGTGTGTATATTGTGCACAGCAAAAACTGCGAGGCTGGAACTAGTTTATCTGAACACCTCAGCTGCTGTAAGCTTCTCCTCTCTCACCCTGTAAACTGACAAGCATGAGGAAAAAAGGAGCACATCCAAGTCTCTGCCTCTTTTACATGTACTTGACTGTGCAAGGCAAGTAGTTTTACAGCCATTTCTGTTCACACCTTTCACCCCAGGATTTGGGGATCTAGCTGAGACATTTCTACCTCGAACAGGTCACATGTACCACAGGTTCCTGAATAATTCCTGCAGGGCTGGTGACAGACATAACAGCTCTGGTTTTATAATATCTTGGGTGTCTCTAAGGCCAATAAGAATAACATTATCTACCCAGAGAGTTTAAAAGAAAAGTAGGAGTCCGAAGGAAGGGTAAACAAGAATGGAGCTGTGTTCACACTGAATTTGGGATCAATCTATTTCCCCCACCCTCTCTCCTCCCCAACCCTTCAGGAATTCTCCTTTACTTTATTAATTTTATACAGAAGAAACTGCCTTAGAAACAAAGGATTCAATAATTTGCTTATTTATTCTTTGTTAACATGAGAGTCCCGTGTCTGAAAACCAAAGTCAAATTTCTGTGTGGCCTTTTGTCTCATCCCTCTTGGCAAAAGTAGCTTTTGAACTGATTTTAAAAAATTGCTGAGTAACAGAAAAGTATTAATGTGCTTGATACCATGACTGAAATACCATGATCTTGTTTGTCAATAAAAAGCAGCTATCTGTGAACCAGGTAACTGTGTGTTTTGGAAGATCTGTTTATTAAGAGTAAATAAGCCCTGTACAGAACACAGGCGCTAGGTTGACAGACTCACCTTTTGTAGGACATTTCTTCCTGCTAACCAGTACGTGGAGGGCTTGGTTTTTTTTGTAACTTTACACAAGGGGTAATATTGGAAAATACACCTTGCTCAAGACATCTGACGCCAGTTTCCCATGGTTTTGCTTCACAAACATCAACAAAGTAAACCTGAACATGGTTAGCAATTTCACAAAGTGTTCTTTGCTGACATTACTTCTGACATACTGTGTCAAAATTCTTAAGGTCTCCCCTCCTTTGGTAAAGTAGGCAAAACTTTACAAGGAAAACACTACAGTACATGGAAATACACTGAGTTAGATTTTCAGTCACCTGCTCTATGGCTCTGAGATGCACTACACCGATAATGGTTCCTAGGACTGTGTCCACCTGATGGTTTAGAGTACAGAAAACCAGCCCCTATGGTTTAAGAGTCATCTCCCATGGAAGACAATGCTGGCCTTCTGAACGCTGGGGCTCATGGGCTTGTTGATGTGGCTTTCTGGTGTGCCAGGATCTCCTGGCAGCTCCTGTATACTTCAATCAAGCAGTCCAGCCGGGGCTTAGCACTCTGAATTCCAAAGGGGAGAAATGCAGAGTCAAAGTGAACATAAGGGAGTACAGTGGAGATGCATCAACTTGCAACTTTTTTTTGAGACAGAGTTTTGCTCTGTTGCCCAGGCTGGAGTGCAGTGGTACAATCTCGGCTCACTGCAACTTCTGCCTCCCAGGTTCAAGCAGTTCTCCTGCTTCAGCCTCCCAAGTAGCTGGGATTACAGGTGCTCGCCACCACACCCAGTGGCACAATCTCGGCTCACTGCAACCTCTGCATCCTGGGTTCAAATGATTCTTGTGTCTCAGCCTCCTGAGTAGCTGGAACTACAGGCACGAACCACCATGCCCAGCTAATTTTTGTATTTTTAGTAGAGACAGGGTTTCACCATGTTGGCCAGGCTACTCTTAAACTTCTGGCCTTAAGTGATCCGCCCACCTTGGCCTCCCAAAGTGCTGGGATTATAGGCTTGAGCCACGGTACTGGGCCCACATGCAACTTCAATCTCTCACCCACATCAAGGGGTATAAATGGCACAGCAGTGAGCTCAGGGAGTTAAGTTTAGGCCTCAGCACACCTTGCTGGGAAGAGTCCCAGCTAGGCTCACAGCCCACATTGTGAATTGTGTGAAGTGGGAGATCAAATGATAGCTTTTTCATCTGTCTAAGTTTCATGAACTCCATCTCTAAGAGTAAGCAAAGAGGAAAAACAAAATGGACCCTTCAGAAATGTCACACGTTATAAAATAGCCCTCAAAGACAAGAAGGGCAGTTTAATATGTAAATATTGAAAAATGTTTTGTACAATGAAATGTAATAACCAAAATTAAAAGAAAAATCACGGAATGGGAAAAATATATGTGAAAGTATATTTAATAAAAGTATACTACCTAAAATATATAAAGATTGTTAAAAATATATAAAAACAGGTACAAATACATAATATTCAGATTCTTCTTGACTAATAGAGAAGATAGGTAGTTTAAAATAAGAGGAAATACTGATAGGTAATACAAGGAAATATGAAAAGCCTATCATTTAAAGAGATACAAATTTACCTATTTAAAATGCCTTTACCTACATATTAAGTTAAAAAGGCTAAATCCACTATTAGCCAGGATGGTAGAAAAAGAAGTACAAAAGCCCCAAAGTATGGTAATGTCCAATCTCTGGAGCCCCATCTGAAACACTAGAAATCTATAAAACTATTCATAAGCTTTAATAAAATAATTTTTAATTATAATGCAAAATAATATTTTAGCTTAGCTATCTTAAATCCTTTGTGAAAAAGGTCAGTGAGGCAGGGTTAACTATATACATAAATACATGCATAAATACCTACCTCTAAAATAATTTACTTCGTAATTTATTATGTTTGTATAATTTATTATGTTTGTATAATTTTTGTTTTGTTTTTTGAGATGGATCTCTGTCACCCAGGCTGAGTACAGTGGCATGATCACAGCTCACTGCAGCCTTGACCTCCTGGGCTCAAGCAATCCTCCCACCTCAGCTTCCTGAGTAGCTGGGACCACAGATGTGTGCCACCACGCTCAGCTAATTTCGGTATTTTTTGTAGAGATGGGGGTTTTACCATGTTGCCCAGGCTGGTCTCGAACTCCTGAGCTCAAGCGA